TCTGGATTTTTAAAAAATATTTATTTTTTAGTTGCAGGTGAATACAATACCTTTACTTTATTTATCTCTGATGCTGAGGATCTCGAACCCAGGGCCTCACAGGTGATAGACGAGTGCTCCACCACTGAGCCACAACCCTAGCCCCTGGATACTCTTATCAGATAAATGATATGTAAATATTTTCTCACATTTTATGGGTTGTTTCATTATCTTGATATATCCTTTGAATCGCAATGTTTTTAATTTTGATAATGTCTGACATATACTTTTTCTTTAGTTTTTTTGGGCTTTAGATACCATGTCCAAAAACCTGGTTTATTTATAACTCCTCTTTACACAGTCAAAAATGTAACAGTAGTCAATACATTATCCTACTAATAAATCTCTACCACTAGCTTAAGGAAGCAGGGATAGTCAATTAGTGGACTCTGGGCAGGTGGATGAATAAATTCTGACTTGTTTTATCCTTAACTTATCATCAGATTCCTTTAAAAATAAGCCAAACTGCCAGTAATTTTAGTTGCCACCTTTTATATTTTTATATTATGCAACAAGTTTATGTTGAGCACCTACTATGTGTTAAGTACCTTTTCAAAGGAGTAAAAAGAAAAAAAAAGTACCAAGAAATTGCAAAGAGAAAACTTTTTTAAATGTTTTTATCTTTGTAAAAGCAATGTAACAGTTACACGCATTGGAAAGATTTTATAAAGCTCATGAATCTCATTGTTCAAATATAATTATTTCATTATTATTTATTCCCTTATAGTCTGTTCATAATTATACACATTTAATGTAATTCAGTTAGAATGACAGAGTTATATATTTTACTTTTTTAAAAATTAACATTTTATTATAAATAAGAGAATGTTTTCTTGATTTTGGTTTCATAGAGTATACAGAGAGGAAGCAAACAAAAGGAGAAAAAGTATAAGTCAATAAAATATTATTAAGATGAGCAAATATGGTCTATAAATGGATTTGTGCTCTGGTCTGTCAATCCTCCTAGGTTGGCAAATTGAGTTCAAGAGTATATAATTCTATTCCAAATTATTAGCATTTTTCTTTTTCTTCCTGATCTATGACTCAGACTCCACTGATTACCTTAATCATATTATATGGGTAATTTAATTTCTAGCTATTGTTCCTACTGGTCAGTTAAATAGTTGCATCTAGATAGGGTTCTCTCCTCTAAGTTTGTAGCTGAAGAAAAAGTTTGATGTATAAACTAAACTAATTTTTTACTAGAATCTGCTTCAAGAATAACGTGGCCCAAAGAAGTTAATAGATCTATATTCATAAACGCAACAACTGATAAGAATTTCCTTAGGCTTTTTTTATGCTACTGCATATAGTTTGTCTTCAAATAGACGATTCAGCATGAATACTATTTTTCAACTATGTAGTTTTGCCTAGTTCAATTTTTTGAGCTAGATGAATAATTCTAATTATGAATTTTATAGCAAATTGAGGCAGTGTTGTCTTGTGTATTATTCCAATGTATTTGGTTTTTAAGTGGATCATCATATTCAAATAAATCTCCTGCTGGTGAATACAATTTCTTTGGGGAATACCTTATGTGCTATTTGTAAAGAATGAAGCATCCCTATATGAAAACACAAACTTAGTTACCTGTCTAAAGGTAAACAGGTAACTTGCCTAAAGAACTTGCTTTAAAAATTAAGGGTTTATATAGTATTTAAATAGCATAACCTTCCTCCTCAGTTCTAGCTCTGGCTTGACCTATTCTACTCCTTGGGTTTTGACTGTGCCTGCTAATGTCATTAAATTTTGTTCCTTCACCTTGATAGATTAACTTTGTGATTAATTTGGCATAGGATGGTATGTCCTGTGGTTTCCATCAGGGACTTTGTGGCAGGGAAAAATTGACAAGCAGACCAAGGACTCTTGTAATTCCTTTCCGCCCTACTTTTATTGATTCCCTGCAGACACCTCCTTCCCCCTTCTTAAAGACTGCTCTGGATCCCATTATCCAAAGACTGTTCTCCCTGGCCGCAGCAGGTGTATTGCTGGCTGTTCCTCCCCATCTTGGCTGGAACATTCCTGTCTTGCTGCTCACCCTTTCAGGGTCACATCCTCTTTCAAGGTGAGAATTGTATTAAAGTGTAAGCCAAAGGAGATCTCCAGGGTCTTCTTTCCATCTCAGGTCACAGGAATTTAACATTGGCTTCTTGAAGTCTCTTCCTTGACTTTCTTATGAAAACCAGAGGATTAGTTCTAATCATGAGATTTTTAAGCCAGATATGAGGGGAAAGGGGAATCAGAGCAGACACAGAATCACTTTAAGTGCTCTTTACTCTTTGCCAATTATTTACTCACATGTAGGAGATAACTGGTGTTTCCCCCAGGTGTATTTATTATCATAATAACTTTCCCTTCCCTCAGGCCCTTGTGAGCAACATTATACCCAGAAACTGATATTTATATGGTAATGAAATAACTATGAATACAAAGTTGATATGCCACATTCATATTACTTGTGTGTTCACATATAATTGTTGAAATAATTCAAATAAATGAAAATAATTGTCACATAGAGATAACAGGATTGTTTTTGTTTCCTGAAGTTTTTAAAAATATTACATATTCATGCCTGTAATCCCAGCGGTTTGGGAGGCTGAGGCAGGAGGATTACAAATTCAAAGCCAACTTCAGCAACTTAGTGAGACCCTGTCTCAAAATAAAAATTAAAAAGGCCTGGGGAGCCTGGGATTGTGGCTCAGTGGTGGAGTGCTTGCCTAGCACACGTGAGGTACTGGGTTCCATTCTCAACACCACAGATAGATAAATGAATAAAAAAAAGGTCCATCAACAACTAAAAACAAATTTTAAAGGCTAGGGATATGGCTCAGTGGTTAAGTGCCCCTGGGTTCAATCCCTGGTACAAAAAAAAAAATTACATATTCAAACTGATGTCAGTATTTTAAAATAAATGTATAACTATATCCCTATAAAAGAGAGACATTACAAAGTGTCATCAGCTTAGTATACTTTATACAATTTTTAATACATGTATTAGGATAACATGGAAAAGTTATCCAACAAGGATTCAGATGGCCTGGCTTTAAAATCTAGTTTCTGGAATCTTGTTCCAAACATGAATAAATCACTTGGCTATTCTTGTCTTGGTTTCTATTTCTTCAGAATGATAGCTACACTATTTGCATTGAAGAGATTTTTTAAAAAGTAACAATAGAATATTTGAATTATAAAACTAGAGGAGATGTTAGAGACCACCTTAACACAAAATGCTTATGCTCCATTGGAGGAAAATACAGTCCAACAAGATTAAGCTTGCTTAAAAAGTATGACAGCAACTTTGGAACAAACAAAATCATAAAGATTATGCACGATGTGAAACACTGTACTTCTTGATGTGATCAGAGAATAAGGATTTAGAGAGGATATTAAGTGTCCTAGTCTGGTATATACATAGTTGCAGCCACTTCTTGTGTGAAGATAAATATGGTATATCTGCCTTTGTTCAGTATTCCTGCTTAAAAGCTACCAGCCCTAAATTTAACCACTTCCTCCGAGATGAAATGATCTGCCTGACTTACTTGCCATTGTGGGTCAAGATCTATGCCTCTATGCTTAAGTATTTCTTCAACTGAATATTTATAGTGATAATCTGCCTACTGAGGGAATTCTACTCATGGCCAAAAGTTCTCATTGGAAATTTAGTGCTGAAAGCTGTCACAGATTACAGCAAGCTCAGCAGTACATTGACAAATAATGCTTAATAGAACAAAAAGTGGAAAGTTAAATCACAAAGCGCTTGCGAATCTTTTGTTGGAGTGGAGTATCAGTTACATATCAGGCTTCAGACCACATTGAAATTGACAGAGTGGAACCTGTGCCCAACCCATGAGTTTGTGACATAAGCTTGCCACATATATACCCCATTGTCCATGGTACTTCTGTTAACTTTGAACAACCTGGCATGACTGGAGTGGATAATTAATAACCAGCTTCCAGAGCTGCATTTCCCAAAGTCTGCTCCCAGGAATAGTAGTTCTAAAAGACATTCATGTGCACTCCTTTAAAATCTACATATTTTACTGGTGCATAAGGACATATTTTACTAGTGACATGCCATAGTCCCAGGTATTCAGGAGGCTGAGGCAGGAGAATTACTTGAGCCCAGGAGTGTGGGGAAAGTCTGGGTAACATAGTTGGACTTTGTCTCTTAAAATATGCACGCGCGCGCGCGCGCACACACACACACACACACACACACACACACTTTCTTAACATTTGCATATATTATATTCCATTGTCAAATGAGTTTGGGAAAGACTACATTAAAAGTGCTCTACTACAGGGCTGGGGCTGTAGCTCAGCAGCGTTGTGCTTGCCTAGCATGCGTGAGGCACTGGGTTCCATCCTCAGCACCACATAAAAATAAACAAATAAGATAAAGGCATGCTGTCCATCTACAACTACAAGAATTTTTTTTAAAGTGGTAACAGCACATGATGATTCTCTAAGAAACGACTAAAATATTTTAATATATAGTGCTTCTCAAACTTAAGAATGCCTTTTTAAAGGAACTCCTATTAATCTCTTTAAGGGTAGAATCAAGAGAAAAACCCTAGTTCCATGAATACACTAGAATTCCATTGTTTGGATACTACCATTCTACCAACCATCACTGATTTTTTTTTTAGCATTTATTTTTAAGTTTTAGGTGGACACAATATCTTTATTTTTTTTTAATGTAGTGCAGAGGATCAAGCCCAGTGCCTCACGCATGCTAGACGAGTGCTCTACATCTGAGCCACAACCCCAGACCCTGATTTTTTTTTTAAATAGTACTGGGGATCAAACCTAAGGTCTTGTGCATGTTAGGCGAGTTCTCTACAACTGAGCTACATCCCCAGCCTCCAACACTGAATGTCTGTTGCGTCACACAATTAAACCAATCAGGGTCACTCCAAGTGAATTTGGGGACTAAATAAACACACAGACACAGAAATTACCTTTCCTTTGGGTTCAGTGACCGCTTCTCAGCAGCAGCTCACACAAAGGGGGCAGGGCAGGCAAGAAAGAGAGGAAGGAGCACGTGTTGAACCCTTTTATTGGAGAGAAGCCATTCAAATGAGGCAAGGGGTCAGGTTTCAGGGGGCTGAGTCTAGCTTCCTGATGTCTTGCAGTCAGCAGGATGACTGACATCTAGGAAGGCCACGCCCATCTCGTATGCTGTGTGGGGATCATAGGCAGAGCAACTGAAAAGTCGCTTACATTGTTCGCCCAAACAGAGGGGCAACAGGAGTTCAGTCCACCCTGTGCGCTCAATGCTCATAGTTCACACACACACACACACACACACACACACACACAGCCCATGGCTGGCTTGCCACATCAACATACTCATTGCTCAAAGCTAAGTGGTGCTCAGTTCCCATGTGGCAGCTCCCAACAATTGTCAGTCCTTGACACTGACATAATATTACAGATAATCTACTATTTTCAGTTATGCAAATATGTGCTGGTTGGAACCTAAAATCATTGTATCAGTTGTGTTTGAACAATAAATTAAAGCAGGATATCGCATAGCAAGTTAAATGAGTACTGGATTTATAATTTTCACACACACCAATAAATACCAACAGTTCTACTTCTGAGAATGCTTCGTTTATTGGTGGGGAAATTAATCTGTACAGAAAGCCAAGAAGATGCAGTATAACATTTTATAGTAATGAGTATAAAATAAATAGAAAATGTATAAAATTCTCCATTCCTACAATAAATATCTGATGAGTGCCTTTTGTGTTCCAGACAGTGATACCAACTGAGTTGACAAGTTGGCAGTGAGGAGTTAAGATAAGTACTTATTAATTCCAGCTGTCATTTGACAATGGAAAACATGCTATTTATATTGTATCTCAAATCTTCAGAACACTCCAGAGAAGGAGATCTTATTCTCATGTTATGAGTGAGGAAACTGACCTTCTAAGATAAGTTTTCCCTAGGCCATGCCTACAAGTGGTGAAATTAGAATTTGAACATAAGTTACTGATGTCAAAGCTATGTTCTTTCCACTAATTATAATACAGCTTTCTCTTTATTGTGACTTAAAATTTCAACTTGAGATTGAACAAAGTATTAAACAAAGTATAAGACTAGTTGAAGGGCAGGACACATTTCCATTTAGTTAAGATGATGAAACTGGTAGGGGTTTTGGAGTTCTGCTTTTTTCTCTCTATTTTTTCCCCTTTCATTGTGTCAGTTGTCAACTCCAAGTGGAAGTCTGAATCTTCATCTCTAGCTTTGACCCACCTTCTGAACTGTAGTCCCACATTTCTCCTTGACTGCCTTACTGTGACCTCTAATGAGACATGTTCAAAATTAAACTTACTATTTTCTCCTCCAAACTGTCTCTCCTAATTTCATTTTCATAGTCATTTAGCTGAAAATTTGGAGCCATCTTTGAATCCTCTGTAAAACTAGTGGTAGTACTCAATGATATGTGATATCCCTTCTAACTCTAATAGCTCTAAAATTCTGGTATTATTCTGTGTCACATACTCAGTCACGAGGAATTACTTTCCCTGTGTTGGGCCCCCTCAACTTATTTTTCAATATCTAACACAATGTATCCTATTGTTTCATTCTTATGTAGCATTCAAAGTCCATTTTATCTATCTTGAGATAGATACATAGGGTCTCCTTATGTTGCTCAAGCTAGCCTCAAGACATCCTCCTGTCTTAGCCTCTCAAGGAGCTATACTACAGGTGCATGCCTGTCATCAAAGCCCACTTTATCTTTATTTATCTATCTATCTATCTATCTCTCTATCTATCTATCTATTTATCTCTCTATTTGGTACCAGGGATTGAACTAGGGGTACTCGACCATTGAACCACCTCCCCAACCCCCGCCCCTTTTTTAAAAGGTGGGTACAATACCTTTATTTTATTTCTATGTTGCTGAGAATTGAACCCAATGCCTAATGTGTGTCAGGTGAATGCTCTACTACTGAGCCACATCCCCAGCACTATTTTGTATTTTATTTAGAGACAGGGTCTCACTGAGTTGCTTAGAGTCTCACTTTTGCTGAGGCTGGCTTTGAACTCATCATTCTTCTGCCTCAGCCTCCTGAGCTGCTGGGATTACAGGTGTGCACCACTCTGCCTGGCTCAAAGGCCATTTTAATTGTCATTTCTCTCTTTAAATCTTTCATGTGCCTCCTACATGGACTTTATAGTAATGGCCCTCTCCTCAGGATCCTGTAATACCTTTTTCAGGACACTTTACAATAACCTATATGCACATCCACTATATATGTATAAATGTATCATAGGTATAAATATATTCATATTATTGTTTACACTAACCTATATATACATCCACACCATGTGTATATATATATACACACATGTATATATTATATGTATATATATATATGTATACATATATATATACTATAGGTGTGTATGTGTGTAAATACGAATACTGCAAATTAATATATATAACTATATCTGATATATAATTAATTTATATAGTATGTATATGTACGTGGTAGTGTGAAGAGTAATATAAATAATATACATAAGATATATATGTGTAATCATAGTGTATGTGTATCTATATAAAGTAGAATGAAGAGGATGCCAGGGGAGATGCTTGGCAAGGATATTGCAGACTGAACAGGAGGGCAGGTTTTGAACTAGGCATGAGCACAGGGTGTGGAATAAGGGTTAAGGAAAAGGAGTAGGGGGGTTAAGGTGGAAAATTTAGGTTTCAGAATCTTAATGAGGCCAGGGCAGCATCCTTCAAAGGAACAAAGGGCAGGTAGCTAAAGGTGATTGCTTACATGAGAGGGAATTGTTCAAATAAGTAAACGTCTTTAAGGATATTAGGAACCAGGTTACTGTGTAGGAGAAATGAGTTACAAATGCATAAGGGCAGAAACTAGAATGAACCCCATGATGGTGGATTGGAGATATTACAGTAAACACAGGGTTTTCCAGTATATATTCTTAAAGAAATAAAGGTACAAATATGTATGGAAGTAAATATATGGCTGCACTGTATGAGTATGAAAGTATAAATGTTCCCTAGCTGCATCCACTGAGACACCATGGGCTGTGATATCCCAGGAGCAGTGAACAAACCTAGTACTTCTAGATGCTGTTCTCCAATAAAAGGAACCAAGGCTTTTGGAGAAATGGCTGCCTCCAGGTCGGAACAATATAAACCTTGTAACCTTTGTATATCTTATAACTAAGATACACAAAGTAAGAAAGTGCTCAAAGAATGATAGATGCATGTTTAAAGGGCATAGGACAGTGAAATATCAATGTAGAATCTGGATGATGGGTACATATTATATAAAACACTTTCAATGATCTGTATTTTAAAAACATTTTGCAGTAAAATGTTGAGAAATAATTTAAAACACACACACACACAGATACAGAATCCAAAATGAATGTGGCTCCTAAACTTAGGAGAATTTGAACATCAAAATAAATAACAATAGAAATACATTAAAAAGTATTTAATGAAATAGGAAACTCTGGATCCATGCTGACATAAATTCATTTATTATAAGTCTGAAGAGAAACAAGATTATTTACAATTATCTTGAAACAAGATAGCTTCAAAGAATCTCCCTCACAAAATGCACATTAATTATAAAGGCAAAAAAAAAATCTGGCAGACACATCTTATTCGGGGGGCGGGATGGATGGTGGGGATTTAACTCAGGAGCACTTTACTACTAAGTCATATCCCCAGCTCCCTTCTTATTTTTTTATTTTGAGACAGTGTCTTGCTAAGTTGCTTAGGGCCTTGCTAAGTTGCTGAAGTTGGTCTTGAACTTGCCATCCTCCCACCTCAGCCTCCTGAGTCGCTGGGATTATTGGTTTGGGCCACAGTGCCTGGTGACACTGTCTTATTAAGATAAACATTAGAATGAGAAATTAAAACTGTGCCACCTGGTAGAATTCAATGAAAAGAGTACAGCATCACTTCTATGAGAGTCCTGTCAAAGATACCTAGCCTGAATCTAATCATGAGTAAATAATCAGAAAGATCCAAAGTGAAAACCATTCAATAAAAATAATTGGTCAGGAATCTTTAAAAGTCAAAGAATGAGGAAGTGTTCTAGAATAAAGGCAACTAACGATAGATGATAAGTTAATAGGATGTTTGATTTGAATCTGAATACTCTTACCATAAATAACACTTTTTAGATAACTGGCAAAAAGTGATGTATCATATAAATATTTTTATTTTGATAGTTATATTGTGATCATGTACAAGGTGCTTAGGGACAGTGTGGTCCCAATATCAAATGACTCGGGGGGAAAAATATTCTTTGTACTATATTTGCAACGTTTTGTAAGCTTGCGATTGTTTCAAAATAAAAACTGAAAAATTACATTCAAAACAGATTGGGAAAACGCCCATAACAGGCTGTTAGTCCCAGTTCAACCATCAACTCAGTGTGTGACCTTGACAGAGTCACTTTACTTATGTCCCCAGAGTCAAGGGGTCAAGTTGAGCGGCCCCCTTGGACGTGCAGCTTTCCACCATCTACGCTCTGCCCTGTCTGAATCACTCCCGGCTCCAGCTGTCTTTGCCTTCAGATGCCCCAACGCTGAGCCCACGGATTCTGGCTGGCGATAAAAACGGACAAAAATAGTTATGGCCGGAATCTCCGGACTGCAAAGCCACAGTCCTGGACTCAACTTGGTCCTCAAGTGTCTTCCATCGCTCTTTCGGCGGTGAAACGGTCACGCCTGCCAGAGTGGGCGCTCGATGGCTCGGCGGCCGGCTGGCCGCGCCTCGGACCTGCGGCTCGGCGCAGGGCGCGCTCCCAATCGCTAGCTGCCGCCGCGCTGGCCGCGGCCAGCTTTCCGGCCCCGCCCCGCGCGCGCCCCGCCCGGCCCACTGCCTCGCAGTCGCCACCGCCGGCAAGTCCCGGTGCTGCCCGGCTTCGCTGAGGAACCGGTAACGTGGCGGGACGTGGGCAGGTGCTGAATCGAGAAGACCACCCCAAGGCAAGCAGTCGGGGATCCCGGGAGGCAGCTCCGGGCGCGAGGGGGCGGTGTCGGGCTGCTTGGCTGCGCTGAGGGACA